TGAGATTCCTTGAGATATAAAGTATTGAAAATGCCTTTCTGTTTAAAAAAAAAAAAAAAAAAAAAAAACAGCAACAGCAGTTAGTGTCCCAGCTTAAGCCTCTTATAGTGCTGGTTTGAGATTGTCTTCTGTTTCCTTAAACAGCCAGTCAACATATAATTCTGCATTGTGTTTCATCATGATTAACGTTTCCTTTGGAATTAAATGCGTTAAATGTCCGCAGAAATTATTTTTAAATAAAGTTCCTTCCGTATTTGGATAATGACATAATTTGACTTGTTCAACTAAATGGAAACTAATATAATAAAGTGTAGCAAAAAGAATGGCTTAGGAAATACAGTTCTTGCCAACAGGCTGTTGATATGTCACCAAGCATGGTGACCAGAATACACATTTGAAAACATTTTCATGTGCTTTAAGGGAGGAGGAAAAAAAAAAACAAAAGTCATCTCCTTTTTGTCGTGAGGGCGAAGGATTCCAGTACATTGAAGTCATCTCACTTAGGGCTTTGTGAAGACCCTTCTGCTGCCTCCTGTTTGGCTTGTATTAGGATGCGTGCAGGTCTGCGGTGTTGAGGCCACCGGTGCTTGTCCTGGCAAGGTTACTCAGGCACTGATTTACCATCTTCTCTTGCTTGGGGCGTTTTCTGTGCGTTTCTACACACCCGTGAGAAACGTGGTTGTATGTTGTGTTGCTGCCTGGCAGGCTACTCAAGTAATTAGCATCTGTAAGACAACCCTTTCTGATAACGTAGGTGTTGTAACGGAAAGCAACCTAAAGAATGTTTTTCCCTGCCGTTGCTGTGATCCAGAGCAAAGCTGGTAAGAAATGAATTATGTCTGTAATAGAGAAGGGGTTTTGGTCTAGGGAAAAAAAAATATTTGGATTGCACTTTTTTCTTTGCTTTAAATTACGTCTGCGTTTGTTTTCGTTCAGATAACCCCTAGTAAAAGTCCTAGCTTGTTACATATGTCAAACGCTTTCTGCCTGCCATTTTTTTCATGAGAGTTGGCTAATTTTCGAAAAGCAAATGCATTTAGCTTTCTGCCCTGTCAGCTGACTGCTGTCTGGAAATAAAAAGAAGTAAAAAAAACCCAGAACTGCGGACTAAAATGGCAAAGCCATTAAAGGATCAGATTTTCAGAAAGAAGATCTAACCAGTGGCTTTTCAGGGATATAATATCTGCTGTCAAAAACCATATCTTGATTGATCAGCCAGAAAAAAAAGGAGTTAATTTTGAAAATGAGAGGGCGGAAAAAAACCTCCTTTTTTCCCCCCCGTATTAAAAAGGGTTACCCTTTCAAATGTTGCAGAGAGCTCTCCAGCCTGAACTTCATATTAGGAGTGGAGATGTTTGCAATTTTTGTTGTTGTTGTATCTCAGGTTAACTTTGCGAACGATCCTTTAAGCTACAGAGACAGGAAGAACCCAAATACTTATGTTAATAACGGTATTGTGGGTTTCCCCTTATTTATAGGTGGGCCGATACATGCCTGTGATTTTTCCCTTGAGTTTTGCATCTGCTTTTTAAGTTGTGAATGTAAGATAGCCTCCTTAGTAAGGGGCAGAAGGACTAGCATGGTGGGACCTCAGGTGGAGAGGAGAAGAGGCACCAACTTGGAGACATCTTCTGGACTTTGGGTTCAGTGAAACTTTACAGATTTGTCAGCTGGTGGGTTTGGGCCACTCTTTTGGAGTTAAACCCACAGGAGAGCTGAGACTCGTCCAGAGAATCCTGCTTTTTATTGAATTTAATTCCACAACAGTAACCATTGAGACTACGGTATTTGCATTGATGGGCTGTCCATTAGAGGTGGCGTATCAGATTGTATCCGTTTAGTGTAGTGTGTATGAAATACTGTAGCTTTAGCTTCAATTATGGATTTTTCTAGCTATTAGTAATTTTCGAAGGATCCCGTTACATTGTTGGCATGCTTTTTATGGGTGAAATACTTGGAAAGGAAGTGAATAAAAACGAGAATTTAAAGAATGAATAGTTTTTGCTGGGGACGGTGCTTGGAGCGAGGGGCAGACCGGTTGGTTTCCCTAATAAGGGCTGCGCTGGAAGTTGGAATGCTTGGACTTGCGCAGAATGCCCCGAAAGCATTCGTCGGGGAGGACCGGCTGGCGGTATGTTTACAGAGCAAAGCCGATCGTGTTTGTCTGGTCTGAATGAAGAGTTTACACAGCCTAAATATAGCCTTTTTTTATTTTTTTTTTTGAAAGGACAAACAGCTTGGATGGAGAAGCACGTGTAGAAACTGCGTGCGCTTTCGTTTTCAGTATCGGGGCTGGCGGGACCTGGTGGGTGCTGCTTGTGTTTGCCTTGCGGTTAATAACTCGCAAGAGGCTTGCAGCTGAAGCTGGGAGCTGCCTCTAATAACCATTTGCCAGCATGTACCGTTTATAAATAAGCGTTTATACCAAACTTTGTCTCCCTTTTGTCTCTTGTCTGTATGTCGCTTAAAATATTGTATAAACTAATACGCCGAGCTGCTAGTTTTCAGTCATTCAGAAAATGTCTTTCTGCTTCAAGCCACCCAGCTTTTTCTAATGGGTGGCAACAAGGCAAAAAGTCATTTTTGTGTCATTTTGAAAGCCTTTATCAGCAGTGGTTGAGGCAGCCTGCTTAACCAAAGCAACATGAAATCCTGCCATGCTTAGCTTGGGCTAGGTGGGAAGGTAACCGCTACCGACTAAGACAAACGTACAAGATTCGATTCTGCAGGCAAATTGCTTTTCTGCTGTGCTAATTTAGTAATATCTATCACAGTCCTAGGAGCGACAGTCAAGATTTAAGCCCTAAAGGAAGCTTAAACGTGTGTGTGTGTTTCAGACGTGTTTTGCTTTTGAGCTTGAACAGCGCATTTCCTTTTGTACCGTCTTGTCTAACCACCGCACATTTTTCACATTCAGATCTTGGTGGCTCAGTTTGCTGGGTGAGCATTTTCTTTATGCAATCCTGGATAAATCACAGATTGTAGTCTGATTATGGTCTGAAGTCAACAAGGCCAAGGAAAATTGTTTGAAGTATGTCTGGGACACGCAAATTTATGTCCTTGTTTCAAGTATGTTTGGGAGAAATAAAGTAATGGTATGCTGTCTGACTCCAAATGTTAAAAGAACTTTGGGAACGTTTTGGTTATCACGAGCTTTTTCTGTATGGTATTTTTAAACATGAGTTTTGAAGAGCAAGCATGTCTTCAGATCGTTTGGAAATAGCAGCTTGAAATATTTTTTGCTCGGCGCTATGTGGATGAGTATAGCGCAATCTCATACGTTGCAACATCGCCTTTAATTATTTTGTAAAGGAAAACTTCGGTGTGCTCTTGCTGTGAGGGTGGAACTTCAGGGTCCAGCTGTGGCAAATAAAAATTTCTTTCTCAACCATTAAATATGATAATTGACATGAAAAATGAGCGTCTTCCTGTACTTTTACTGTTAGGGCCAATTTGATAAATACTCAAAATACTCAAAGTTACATTATTGAAAAATGCGTACCTAAACTGTGGAGTGACATACACGTTTCTTCCTGACTCTGGTCCTTAAAAGGAAGAAAAGTTTCCGTATGCGTTGGCGTTTCTTGCCCTTGTTGCTGCCGATTGACAGCTCTGCCCTTGGGAGCGATGAACGATGCAGCCCGGCGCGGTGGCGGGTGGGAGGTCGGTATTCGCGTGGGCTCAAAACTCGGTGGGAAACGAGAGACCGGACCCGCTCCTCAAAAAGCACAAGACCAGCATGCTCTCTGTCCATCTCTTAAAAGTGGAGAAGACAACGGTTAGATGGGCCGGGTGTGGCCTGATTCAAACCTAACCCTCCCTGTTTTCCTGCTAGGGATGGCAAAACTGATTTGTGCAACAGAGGTGCTTAATTAAATCGTAGCCTCTGTTACCTCATCTCCAATTAAATGAGTCTTTGCACCTGCCCAGCAAATTATCTTTTAGAAATAACAGTCCAGCTTCAGTTCTTCAAAACCCTGTTTAGAAGATGCTTAGGAAATCCGGGTTGTTTGATTTCACTCAGGATATAATTACTGTTTCTTGGATCATTTGTAGGATGCCAGCTTTTCTCAGCAGCTACCAAATATGGCAAGAAATGTTCTGGAATGTGGCAGGAAGCCACTTTTCTACTGAAACAGCGAGAAAGCCCTAAAGCATATCAGCAGCAATGTTTGTGCACAAAATGTTTGTGGGTTGAGTTTTTGTTGTTTTTTGAAATTGCAGAGTGTGTGTGTACTTTTGCACATTTGTATGTGCAAATCTGAAAACACTATAAATGAAGTGAGATGCTTTTCCCGCCGTGCTGTGCTGCCGGTTAAGTTTTTGGCGTAACAAAACCTGTCAGTTCTTCTTCATCCTTCCCGTTGCCCTCTTTCCTCTGCTTGCCACTGCCCCGTGGTAGCCTCAGTGCGCTCATTGTTCGGAAGCAATTTTTGTTGCTGTCTACTGTGCGGTTCGAGTTACGGTAACCTTACCTCTGAAGACCCAACATTATGCAAGAAGTTTCCGTGTTATTTAATTCGATAACAGTCCTTTGGAAGGAAAGTTATGTTGTTATGCTTAAGAGAAGTTTTCTGTTTTAACCCTGCCTAAGGGTTATGCTCTGTTAAAACTCAGTTTATCTGCCCGGAACTTTTGAGTTACGATAAAGTTATGATAAAGTTTCATATGAAGGGAAGAAAAACAGTAAGCAAATTTGAGCTAATGTCTCCTAACTACTGATACGGTATCATTATAGTATAAATCAAATAGTACTTGATGATAGATGTTAGAGCTCCTAATGTTATATCTGGATAAGTTCATCCAGTTTGCTTGTGCTTTTGTCCTGTATTATCCAACAATGTTGTAGGTTCAACTCGAATAATTTTTGTCTCCTTCAGAGGAAGGAAAACAAAGACATAATTCATACGTCCGTGGGTGGACGTGGTGAGTTGGAAGAGGGAGAGGCTTAGCCATTAAAGAATTTATTTTTAAGATTATGTGCGTATTTTCTCTTCCAGAGTGGCGACCGTACCAAAACCTGATCCTGTTCACGTACAAAAGGTATGTTCAGCAGCAGCAACCAAGAAATGTAGCATGTGGCACTAACCGTTACCCATCTGTCAAACCCTGTTGTTGATAAGAACTGTCGTTCAAGACTTTCCTTTCACTGTAGCGTGCTCAATTGCCATGTGTCACATAGACATGCAGATTCTGCAGTACTGAGTGATTTTTTTTTTTTTCCTTCCAAAAGAGGTTCGAGAGCTGTCAAGTGATTATACATGAAAAGGTGCTAGTAAATAAGCTGTCTTCCAACTTTCTGATTTTTTTTAAAGCTAGTGCTAATGTTTTTGTTTTCTTTTTCTTTTTTTAAGCAAGCCTTGCAGCCTTGCTATGTATTTGATAGAAGCTTATCTGAGCATTAAAGTTTCAGAGAACAGTTCCCTTGAGCCCTGGAGAATTATTCATTCCTGAGCTCTTCTAATGTTACATCCTGAAGCCTTAATTTCAAAAACTGCTTTTGCTAAGTAGGCTATTTCCAAGCCTGCCAGTGCTTTCAGAGGACTGGGCGGCATCCCTGTCATCAAACCTGTACTTGAAAATCCTTTGAGGTGGACATCAATACTGTATAGTGTATAGTGAATCCATGATCCTGATCTGAAGGGCTACGGTCTGGGCACCGCAAAATGCTAAAGCATAGCTCCCAGCAAAAACATCACACTTGCATTTTCCGAGGGTTTTGATCTGACAGGGATAAACATGAAGTCTTTTTTGGACAGGTTTAATATGAATGAATGTTCTCAAGTGCTAGATGGAGTTGGGGGACTTGCTTCCCTCTCCAAAGCATATCACCAAAACTAGGGAGAGACTCGGCAAACCTGGACGTTCACGGGGTGAGAATTGCCTCCGTACTGCTTACAGCTGCTGCCTCTCCCGTGTTTCAAACATACCGTCTTGCTAGAAAGTTTTAACAAAAGCTCACAGGATATCCTAGAGTAGGTTGGAGGGTATGAATGGAAACAGCTTTTTCACCTGCTGTTGCTGTAAATAGACTGTCTCGTAGAAAGGGAGAGAAAAAGGAGGAAAAGTTTGCTTCCTCACTTTGGGGTGCTTCCGCTCCCACCCCAAAATAATTTCAGAAACAAAAAAGCCATTTTTATTTTCCCGTATGGTTTTGCTGTAAGTATATGCAAGTTGTAAGCGTGTTGTAAGTGCATAAGAGACTGTCAATCTTTCGCTGCTGCTTCTATCCGGCAGTTAAAACCCTTGTCTCACTTGAGTACCTGAGTTACGTATTTGCTTATGGCTCATCTACTCGTGGGACCAGATGATACCTTTCCCGGTGTCCGCCTGAGGTGGACAGGAGCGGGCATGCCGTTTGAGCTGGAAACGCCTCTGTCCTCCCAGCGCTTGGCTCGCATCAGTGGGCTGCACCTGGAGAAGTCTGCCTCATCCCAAAGCGCTGGCCTCGAGTGAACGGGCTACGGACCTCCGGTTCCTCTCTCTTGGCATGGGCCCTGTCGACAGATCAATATATGGCAGCGTGTGTGTGCGTTGCACGCGCGTGCCCTTTGCGTGTGGAGAACGCACACGCCGCTGGGTTTGAGAGATGGACCGTGGCTTTGAAAAACCACTTACTAATGTTTTCCACGTGAATTATCCCGTGGCTCTTGCAGTGGAGCTTGCCTAAAACGTGATTTGTGGCGCGTGCATCTTGGACGTGAGGAGAGAAGGCAGCATCTCGGGCTTTCACGTGTATCGCGCACGTTTGGATCGTTCCCTTTCCTAAAAACGCATGGCTTGTTTTTCCTTCAGTTGTATTACTGCGGTATTGGTAAAGCTTGCTCTTCTGACGACATCTCATTTCTCTGTTTCAAGCCGCTGGGGGTCCTCTTCCCCCGGTACCAACAAAACGCCCGTTCAGGAACGTGCATGCGGTTGGTGTGTTGTTGTGTGTGTGTTTCTCTTTTTATTTATTCCACGTAGGGAGAACCTAAAGAAGTAGTTAAGCCTGTGCCCATTGCCTCTCCTGCTGCACCCAAAGCCGCGTCCCCGGCGAGCGTGGCTTACAATAAGACACCGAGGCCGTTCGGGGCGGTCGCTTCCACCAAAGTCACTTCCATCCCGTCACCGTCCTCCGCCTTCACCCCGTCCCCCGCGGCCCCCGCGCCGGCCGCCG